GAACACAGCAGAATCCCCGCAGTACCGGCCGGCTGCGCTACTGAGGTTTTACATGGTTTCCCTCAGTACACGCCAAATGGGCGCAGTACAGAAAGTCGGCCCATACTACCGCAAAAATAATGAGAGGATAGTAGGAGAGGCTAATGAGAGGATAGTAGGAGAGGCTAAAAGGCTAAGACGAAGGGGGGCGCCTATCAAACCATGGTAACAATGGTAATAGGAAAAGGAAAAATGTAAAAATAAAAAAAAAAATAAAAAAATAAAAAAAAATAATGACACTCAGTTCCGTAAATTTTGCCGGAACTGGAAAATACGATTCTAATCTCGCTTCGCTCGGTTAGATGGCCGTTTCCAGTCCCTACGAGAATAAAATATTGTGTGCCTCACGGAAATAAAGTATTTTCCGACTTATGTGATTATACTCACATTTCGTCAGAAAATACTTTATTTCCTAAAGGCACAATATACTAATTATCCTTCCGACAATAGTAATTTGCCGGGTGACGTAATCCGAACATAGACAATGATTCGCGATCGGGTATGACCAACAGTCATACCACCAACGCTGTCTAGGAATTTTTCAATTCCGTCACGTAAAAATCACGGTGCGTCACGTAAAATTCAAGTGAAACTGGATAATTTTTACTTTACTCGGAATAATTTTAACCGGAACTGTGGTAAATTTTACAAGTTCGTAAGAAAGTACGTAACAGTCGCGTCAATTTTCCAGAGCAAATAACAAAATTCACTGTTCGTCTCTCATTCTTTCCCAAATTCTCCAGTAAAAATCAAGGAAATGACACTCCAGACCACGATTACGTGATTAGTCACGTAATGTTTCCTGTGTTTTTCTCTCCGTGTAATAATTTAATTTAATAAGTTGCAATGAAAAGGAGGGAAGGAAAGGGCTTAGGTAGGCGTTAGATGGCGCATACTGGTGTAGTCGTGGTATGGTTTTTATTCCAGTAGATTTTTTCTATGTGAGCAGAAAGTTGAGTAGTTGACAATTATATTGAGGAAAGTTTTTCAACTCATTTATCTTTAATAATGCAAAAAAAAATGCGCTGCAATTTTGGAACTTGTATCGCGGTTATTGCCTCTCTCATATGTCTTATTTTTTCATTAAAAAAACGTATTAAACTCTTGTACCAGTTTGTTCAGTTAAAATAAATCGCTTTCATACTTACTTAATAATAAAAATAGTTTTGCGGCGGAGACTAAAGGTTAAATTACTCTACAAACAATGAAGCTATGTTCAATCATCTGTGAACGATTTTCTTTGATAAAACAATTCCAATAAATGTGAAATTAACAAATATTCCAAATGAAGTACTTTGCATAAGACTTGATGGATATTCCTGAATTGTCATAATTAATATCAGATTTGTTGTATAATAAACAAGTACAAACGATAGTGTTTTCAGTCATGTTACTTGATCATGAGGTTTTCACAAAATATGTAAGAATTTAGGGTTGTTAGCTAGATTTGCTTAATAGACTTCGTCGTGAAGAGACATGCGAGTTACTAATTAGATCTTTCAAAGATTTGCCGATATCCTGGACAATATTCTTATGAACTTAAACTAAGGATTTCTTCAGAAGTTAAACTAAGAGCGTAGTCAATCACTCTTATTTTTCTTCTTCCCCCCAAATTACCCTAAATTGTTTCTGTACTGTTCGCCGCGGGTTTGTAGCAGATGTAACGCAGATGTAATACAGATGGTCCTACTGGTAGTACTGTCGCATCCAGTGCCGACTTCGATTGAGGTTTGCTTTGACGTATCGAGAGACGTATTTAGAGATTTATCGTAAATTGATAACAACAACAACGGGAGAGAAACAAAATCGGATTTAACATCACATTTCAATGTAAATATTACGACCGCCATGAATCGGTTTTTGTTAGTCGTATTCTACCCCACAATATCAATTGCTGACAAAAAAACACAAATATCTGAGTTTTCGACGTCAACTATTTTATGCTTTCTGCACGTTATCTTTGAAAAAAGAACATGATCTATGGAGTAATCACAGTTGTGGCCTACAACTTCAGGTAAGGTTTGATAATAAATTTTGCTTTTCCTTCCTACAGAAAGTATATATGAATTCCGAATAAATTAACATATATTTCAATGTGCATCCGAAATAGTGACTCCGGATTTTTTTACTAGTCCAATCGTTTATTATCAAATGTCTTTAATAAATCGGTGCGGTGCCTATTTTTTAGTGAATTTTAGTAAAACTTTTTATAATTGTCATCTTCGCGAATCATTATGTTTCAATTGAGCAGATAACGTAGGCGAAAAAATTCAGACAATCTTAGCCGAGAGCATAAACGTCGGTTACAACGAATTTGAGTATTGGGGCGCCGTGAACGTAAAGAATTCCGAATTCATTCTCAATCGAATATTCGCAATTTTGCCAGAGTAAATCCTGTTTCTGCACAAGATACGGCGGCTCAAAAATGACGATGCAATGGAGAACGACGATCTTTATCTCCACATTTCTGACTTAGAAAATATGCAG